GGGGGGTTGTTATGGATGGATGGTTTTCATCTTTAATCCTTAAATACTTCGGAGTATCCTGGTTGGACTGATCCGGGCTGATCCTGGATACAGGATTATAAAACCAGATCAATCTCATCATCTATCTTCAACCTAATCTTCACAACTACAATATATTCGCTAGATTTCAATTTCTAAAGACGAGAAGTTAAATGGAGTGTCGATGTTATTTCAGATGATCTTGCATTTAAAGATTTTCAATTATTCACGGCTCCCTTAAAAAATTATGCACAGCTAAAAACGTTTTAGATATTTTTTGATTTTGGAAACTGATTACAGCGGATATATGATCATAGAAAAAGAAGGAAATTGACCGAATTTAACTCTTTGTTAAGTTTGAAAATGACGATATTTTCTTCATTGTTGTTCAAAGAAAGATTAAAAAGAGTATTTCTATGAATGGCGTATTTTTGTTACAGTGAGAACTAACAATAATTAAATTCTCGTTTTATTTCTGTTTGTTGTAAAATATTGCTGGAGAATTTGCAATTTACAACAGAATTGATTTTGAAAAAGTGAACATTAGCCAAACTCGCAGATCCTTAGCAAATCCTTAGCAACATTATGAAAGTAAAAGTATGAAAAAAGACGACATTTGTTTCCCAGTTTTCCTGTTCTCACTGCATGTTAAGAGAAAATATGATAGGAACATATTTTGCTTGGTTTTAAGTCTCAAATTAAAAATATTAATTAAATGATTTTGCAGATTTTCATAAATAAGATAACTTAATGTTGTTTCACCACGTCATTAAATGCAACTAAAATAATCTGAAAATTCATTAAAAACTATTTTTTATATATATATACAAATATAAATTTAGGGACTTTATAGTTTATTGACGACTTAATAAACTTAAATCTTCGTTTTTTTCTGTAGGGTGTGTTGTAATCGTTGTAATGATGTAGTTAGGATAAACATATTCAAACTAAAAAATAAACATTTTAATTAACCAGTGTCCAAATTTAATGGATTTAAGCCACGTCTCAAATCCCCCAAAAACCAGTTTTAATTGACCGTCGGCTTAAATCTTGAAAAATTTAATACAAATTTAAGTGGAACCAACCATATTTGAGCCGCGGCTTAAATTTAAACCGCGGCTCAATTTTTTTAAAATTTGGCCTCGAATTTTCTGTTAGACAAAGATTAATTTACTGAACTTAAATTTCTTTATTTTTTTAGATTTCCTTTTATATAAGTCGTAACTTAAATAAAATTAATAATAGTAATACTCTTCCGCCAACGCCAAGCTGTTTCCATTCTTTACCGTTTTCAAAGACTTTTTTTACCTTTTGGGTTTGTAACCTCGTTGCTTCTTTTAGTTTTGATTTGATCAAAAAAATGAAAAAAATCAAATTTTTTTGTAACATATTAGAAATGCAAAACAAAGTTCTTCTCATTAGCTCTTTAGAAATAAGAGAACAGTTGTGACTGAAAACATGTAATCCAACGTGACAGGAATTGACAGAAATTTCAAATTATGAATTCTGTTGGATCGAATAATCTAGTTTTGAATATCAATGGTTTACACCATCAGGGTGCAAAGATATAGAGATTGGCAAATTTGAGTTTGTTGCAATGCAAAGAATCAGTTTCTTTATTTCAATTTAACCTGATTCAGGATGTTCACTGTTTCGGCGAGAAAACCTGTTATTCCCTCGCCTTCGGAGTTCCGGCCATTCTTATGTTCATCGCTACCGTAGTTATCATTATAGGTAAAGAAAGAACAGCTTTTTTTTCCGTGCGTGCATACGTTCGAGGATTACAGGAAAGACGACATTTAAAAGCATGACTAATAGGCCGAAGTCATCATTATAGGTAAAGCACAGTTCTTTTTGTTCGTGTTTAGGGATTAATAAAAGGACGATGACAAAAGCATGACTTTTAAATAGTTTAGTTAAATTTATTCTAAATCAACAGGACTTATGGCCGATCCGATTGATCCATATTGCATACTATCTAAAGTGCCCAGCGTTGCCAGTAGAAAACTAAACAAATTTTGGGGATCCGAGTTGTGAAAAAAATTCTCATTTTTAGCCGTTGTTAGCCGGCCCCCCGGTGTGCATTGGTTTCCTTAAAAAGCGTCAACTAATTTGGTAGAGTCGTTTAAACTTTAAGAATATAGATTATTCATTATACATCCATTTGTCCGCTTTTATAATATCTTCTTCTTATCAATCCTTATGTAACAAAAAAATATCCGGCTCATGTATCTACATGTTTTTTAGAAAAATTTCAATTTCTTTCGGTCTTATTTTCTCCGAATGTTGATAGTCCATTAAGAGATCTCGTTGGTCAACATTTTTTATACTTTGAAACGTGGGTTCTCATGTTTTTATATTTTGAAACGTGGGTCCTCATGTTTTTATATTTTGAAACGTGGGTTCTCATGTTTTTATATTTTGAAATCTGGGTCCTCATGTTTTTATATTTTGAAACTTGTGTCCTCATGTTTTTGTGGATGCAAATCCGGTTCAAAAGGGATCAAAACTGTTGTGGAGTGGATTTATTGAGTTTAGTTTATATTAATATTTTCATTTTCGGCTTAAAGGGACAGTAAGCGTAATTTCAACTGACCCTCAAGTGACCCTCCACCCCCAAAGATGGCAATGCTGAATTAATGACGGTACCCTTGAAACCTTAATCTGATAGAAAATGTGTAAGATAACGTCATTGTTCTGACTCGAAAAGTGTTTAGTTAGGATAATCTTTCCATTGTTTCTTATAAGCAAGAAATACGCGATTCACTTTTAAAGAGAAACGACAAATTAAAATAAAAAGTTTAAAAACAGAAACATAAAGTTCTAATTCATACCTGATCAGACAAAGCTTTTAAGGGTACTGTTGTATATCGGGTGCTTAAAATTACGCTTACAGTCCCTTTGAAACATTTACGAGCACTTTAGATTATAGATATGTAATATATTTGTGCTTCGAGTATTGCATTGATTTTATTCCGCTAAACCTGTTGGTTCTTCGAATTCTTAATCTCCTCTTTTTCTTATCTGTCTATTCAAAATTTATTCTAAATTTTGTTAATCTTTTCTTTTTATCTAAAACTCTACATTTTATTAAATATAAATTTTAAAAATTCTAGATTTCAAAATTACAAATGTTTCCTGCAGTTTAATCCTTAATTACGATAATCCTCTTTCTTTTTCTATAATTCAGAATTCTGCAATTGCAATGCATTGATTTTTTAATGGACGGATTTATTAATTAATTTTTTAATTAGGACGACCGCTGTATGTGATGAAACCTCCTCAAGGAAATGTGATTCCCAGTGTATTTGGCAGCGTTTTCGTAAGTTCCTTCAAAGGAATTGAGTCTTAGCAACATTCTCAAATTTTCTAATCCCTATATTTTTGCAACCTGAGGGTGTAAGCTTTAAATATTTTAAACTTAGGTTATTTGTTCCAACAGAATTCACAGTTTAAAATATCTAAGGTCTAAACGACGTTTGATTGCAAAGATATAGGGATTAGAAAATCTGATTTTGTGACAAAGAATCAATTCCTTTTATTTATCTAAATTTATCTTTTTTATTCTGTTATTTTTTCTTCCTGTAATTTTCCTTCTTTTTCATACATTTCTTAATTCTTCCATTTTTGCATTTTTCATCTTTTTTTAAATTTATCTTTATTCATTCTTTCATGCATTTTTTCTGTAGTCCATCCTCTTCTTATTTTTTTATGCAATTTTCTTTAATTTATTTTGAAAAGGAACTGAGTTTTTGCCACAAACTTAAATATTCTTATCCCTACATCTTGCCGACCCAATGTCGTAGACCTTAGATATTTCAAACTATTAATTCTATTAGGTCAAATAATCTAAGTTTAAAATATCAACGGTTTATACACACTGGGTGCAGAGCCAGAGATATAGAAATTAGAAAATTTGATGTTGTGGCAAAAACTCAATTCCTTTCAACCTTTTTTTGATTCATCCTTTTATTCAGTTATTAACAGTTTTTAAATATTAGAAGTTCAAGGCATTTTTGTTTTTCTCAATTATTCTTTTCAAAAAGGAATTATAATTAAAAACATTTCTGTCTTTTTTCTATTTGTTTATTCTTTTATTTCGTTTTTCTCGATCTTTCTTCACTTGTTTATTTTCTTTCTTCCCTTTTCTTTTTTAAGTTTTAAACATTCTTTTATTTAGTAGAATTATTTTTCTTTTTAAGCTATTCATACTTTTAGAATTCTTTCATCTTTCTACCTCTAAATAATTTCATTTCAGGTTTGGTTGAAAGTAGTTTTTTAATTCAATTGTTAATATCTACATTCATTCAAGAGCAGATTCAGATATTTTTTTTATTTTCTAATGAAACTCTTTAAACTCACAATCCAAGGGACTGTTACCGTTATTTCAAGTGAACTATAACAAATTAAGGAGTTGCATGCTAGATTAGCCACTGTACTCCTTACACCTTTATTCGAGCAACAATAAGGAAGATATCGTTGTTTTTCTTATGATCAAAACGTGAATAATTCTGTCAATTTCCTTCTTTGTCTCGGCTGCATAAATCTGTTTGTCATAATTTTAGAGTAATCACAATGGATAATTATCAAAAGAGCATATTTGAATTTTTGGGATGAGAGAAGGGTTAAATGGACACCGTTGTGAATCGAATATGGAACTTTAAACCTGTAGGGTCGCTTTAAACTATGTCGATAGTCCATTAAAACCTAACAACCATCCAAATCTATCAATTTGGTCCCTTGATTCTGTGTAAATCCCTAATGTTCCCTAATAAATATAAAAGTTATCGGATTCCGATTGTTCTATATTTTCAGTGTGCGTTGAAGGAGAAGATTAAAGGAAAGAAGGCTGAGCACTGGCTGGACCTCGCTAAAACAAAGTAAAATTTTTCTAAACAAACAGATTTCTTTTCTTCAAGATAATTAATCCCTACCTGCTTCCGGGGTATTATCTATCTAAGGGACAATTTGTCAAAGAAATTGTCCAAACGAGACTATTTCTTTTATTGTGTGTATTGTGATTTTAAGATTGTAAACGCGAAGGGAATAGCACCAGTATCCCCCTATCAAAGGTTTGAAGGGTACCACTGTGAATCGACACGCCACTACCAAAATTTACAGTTTAATCTTTGTGAAGAAACAATCTCAAGAACTGACGAGGGTCAACCCAGACCGAAATATATTTTCAATAAATGTGGAACTAACATCTACTTTTTTACTCTACAGAGGTTTGGTCCATCACCATCACCGAATTTTAGATTTAAATCCTTGTGTTGCTAAGGTATGACAGTAACCTGGTTGAAGATGTGAAAAGTTTGACCGGTGTGCTAGTTCTCTATCTGCCTCTACCAATCTGGTGGGCGCTCTTCGATCAAACAGGCTCAAGATGGACCTTTCAGGTAAACACATTTAAACCTGGACTTTTTAGGTAAACACATTCAAACCTGGACTTTTTAGGTATACACATTTAAACCTTGAATTTTTAGGTAAACACATTTAAACCTTGCCTAAACTTAGAAACTTGACAGAAGAAACTAAATCAAGCTGACCTAAGATAAAATGTATTGCAATTTGTTCTTTTTGATATTTTTACTTTTCTTTTTTACTATAACAGCTACTTGTCTAGATGACTTTATAGACAACAGCCAGATAGACAACAGATGGATAGACAATAGCTGAATAGATAACAGCTGGATAGATAACAGCTGGATAGATAACAGCTGGATAGATAACAGCTAGATAGATAACAGCTAGATAAATAACAGCTGGATAAACAACAGCTGGATAAACAACAGCTGGATAGTTAACAGCTGGATAGATAACAGCTAGATAGATAACAGCTAGATATATAACAGATAGATAGACAACAGCTGGATAGATAACAGCAAGATAAATAAAAGCTGGATAGACAACAGCTGGATAGTTAACAGCTGGATAGAAAACAGCTAGATAGATAACAGCTGGATTGATAACAGTTGTATAGACAACAGTTGGATTGATAACAGTTGTATAGACAACAGCTGAATCGATAATAGCTGGATATATAACAGCTAGATATACAATAGCTGCATGTACAAAAGCTGGAAAGATAGCAGCTTGAAATATAATAGCTAGATAAATAACAGCTAGATAGATAACAGCTGTATAGATAAGAGCTGGATAGATAACTGCTGGAATAACAACAACGGGATTTTTAAAAACTTGATAAATAAGAGATATCCCGCAGAGCAAGCTGGATAGATAACAGTTGGAAAGTTAACAGCTGGATATATATAACAGCTAAATAAATAACAGCTGGATATAAAACAGCTGGATAAATAACAGCTAAATAGATAACAACTGGAAAGATATCAGCTGAAAAGATAACAGCTATATATATAACAGCTAAATAAATAACATAACAGCTGAATAGATAACAGTTGGATAGATAGCAGCTCGATCGCTACAAGCTGAAAATAAAACAGCTGGATAGATAACAGCCAGATAGATAACAGCTGGTTCTATAACAGTTACCACAGATACCAGCTAGACCGATAACAGCTGTAACTGTTAGAATTCCATTAATGTATTTCAAGGACCAATGTTCCCTGGAATAAAATTTAAGTTTAAGAATAATCTTAAGCTTGAGGCGGTAGTATAAGGAGGATTTTGAATCTTCTAGAAGGAAAATTTTAAAAGGAATATAACACTCACCACTCAGCCATAAAGATATAATTCTAAAGATACCATATTATACCAATTCTGAAAGTGGTTCGCGGATTTTTGAAATTCTGCAGTTTTGCAAACTGGATAATAGAAAAGAAATATTTCAGTATTGGGACAATCGACGTAATTTCAAGTGACCCTTTATTTATTCATTTGCTTGCTTAACATGCTTAAGATATTCTTGTTTTTCCATCTAAAAATTGATGTTTTTAAATTGCGGTTTCTCCTCCAAAGTGACTTGTGTATTTATGCAGTAGAGTCGAATAAAACCCTGTCAGTATTCAACACTTTTCATTATTTCAGACAAACAAATGATATTTCTTTATTGTTTCTCAGATAAAATAATTTGAAATTACGTCCACAGGGACGGCCAGACCCTTTAAAATTAGCAATACATAAATCCGAAATTATTCTCCCTTTACACAACTTTGTTTATATTTTCTGTCTTGGCAGAGAATAAATATAATCTGTAAGTTTCGAGAAGTTTCTAGAAAACCTTATTTTATTATTTGGTTCTGGTTTCTATTTGAAGAGACTGTTGTATAAATTTCAAGTACCTGATTCACAACAGTGATCAATAATATAGAAGATATTGTCGATTTTCTAGCTTAAAGGGAGTGTTCGAGAAAAATGAAAGGGGGTATAGGCTTACGGCGATAAATAATCGCTTTTGATCGCTACATTTCTCATTTTAGACGTAACAGATAGAAGTAAGATTAGTAGCGATCAGAAGCGATTATTTACCGCCGTAAGCCTACACCCCCTTTCATTTTTCGCGAACACTCCCTTTAAAAAGTGTTTATTTCTGACAATCCATTTTTTTAGAGTAGAATTGTGCAAGTTACATAAACCACGATTGAAAATATTTAATTTTCTCAATGGATTCACTTTGAATTACATCTACAGTCCTTTCGAAAAGAGTTTTTTAACTTTTCCAACATGGTTGATTGGTTTACCACAGTATTGTTTGCTAAACTACTGCATATCCTGCTTTTAACATTATACAGTTTTTGTCCTGTAAAATTAGGGGGAAATATGCCCCCTTCACCCCCTCCCCTTCTTCCCCTNTCAACCTAATCTATCCTATATATCAGCCTAATATATCCTTTACATCAACTTAATCTAACCTTTATATCAACCTAATTTATTTTTTCTATCAAGCTAATCTAAACTAGACATCAAACTAATCTATGCTTTACATCAACCTAATCTATTCTTTATATCACCCTAAACTATCCTTCATATCAACCTAATCTATCATCTATATCAACCTAATCTATCCTTTATATCAACCTAATCTATCCTCTATATCAACCTAATTTATCATTTTTGTTTGAAAATTTTAGATCTTTGTCAATTTTTGTTCTACAAAAATGTAAAAATGGAACTATGATAAAAGCTGCAGTATCTAAAAAGTGTTATTATAGACAATTTATAGACGATAACTAATACATATATGTACAAATAGATAAGAAAAGATTTATTGCAGTGTACACCTGTAGCAAATATAGAGGCCTGTAGTAAATTACTTTGTACATTGTATATATAGCTAAATGTGCCCATTAATAAATACGTAAATCATATATTGCGAATAAACCATTCAATGTATGTATATATATATATATATATATATATAACCCCGTCATACCCATATTCTGATTGCTTAACTATTTTATTTATAACAGCGCATAACTTGTAATTAAGCTGTTAAGGACCCAATTCTAATCTAAACTGAAGAAATATTCATTAGTTCATACAGAAACTCCGCTTTGATTACAGTGTTGAGAGTAATTTGGTGTCGTTGAAACATATGAATTGAGATTGTTGCCTTGAGCTTTGGATTGATCTATTGATTGCTATTGCCTGGTTGACATAGCTAACAAGATCTTGCCCAGTGGTAGTGGAGTTGATAGTTTATAGGATTGTAGCCGTGTCTCTGTTGACATTGATAGTCAAGAATATCTGAGTTGTACCAGGATAGATACTGGTTCGAGAAATTGTATTGGAGTAGGTGTTTACTACACACCTAGATACTCTTATAAATGAACGGAAGTATTTTATCAGTGTATTGTACTGTTTCTAATAGATATTTATTAAAAAAGTTTATTGTCTTGGAAGAAAAGCAAGTAATAAATGAATCAGATTCAGGGATAAGACAGGAATGATACATAACGTGGGGTGGGGGGGGGGGGTTTAGGCTAGGCATCTCCTAAATAATTTGTCTTTGTAATTTTCCTTGACCGTTAATTTATAAAAAGGACTGATTGACAAGGGTGCTTTTTAAACCTCAGTCTTAGCGATAATGTTTATTACATTACAGTACTGTAGTGTACTGGATTGGATTGGAAAGAACTGGACTGGACTGGACTGGACAATTTAATACTGTACACTACGAAACAATACAATAATGTACTGTCTACTTTTTTAAAGATTTTTCTATATTATATACTTTCAATAGCTGAATGATATACTGTGCTGGTCTGTACTGGACTATACTGTACAGTGCCATACAAAACTGTACTGTACTTTAGATTACAAAAATGTATTGTATTGTACTGGACTGTACTGTACTTACTAGAGATGTCAACGTTTTGATTTTTCTAGATTTTAGTTTTCGTTACGATAGTGTTCATCAAAAGTATTAACGTTTGAAACGTTACGTTGATCCTTTATATCAACCTAATCTATCCTTTATATCAACCTATTCTATTATTTATATCAGGTTTGGTCCATCACCATCACCGAATTTTAGATTTATTTAATATTCT